AACCCAATACAGTCTGAGCCAAATTACCACTGCTTCTGAAGCATCCAGTCATTCTAGTATTGTTGATCAATTTGTACCTGGGTATTCATTTCAGCTGTAACATTTTTTTTAATACATTAGCTACTGTGTGAGCATCTGAACGGATTTCACAAGCGCCATGGTAGCAACAGCAGCAGTAGCTGCAATAATGATAGCTGATATTATAAAGGCAATGAGACATCCTATAAATTGTTGTGGGTGACTAATTGTCTGCTTTAAAAGCCTTGATAATTGACTTAATCCTGATTCCCCTTCCCGTGATTTGGTCGTATTTACAGGGATCCACAATTCAGCACGACGTCACATTGGCATGATTACTGTAAGACTTGGTTCAGATATATTCTTATGAGTAAAACAGCTAAAATACCAAGGTTAATTCAGATTAGTTTCAAAAGCATGGTTATGTAAAGCGATATCTACAAATTGAGCTGCTACAAAAACATAAGGATGTGAAGTACGTCACTGAATCTTTGTGATTCTGTGTGAGGTTCAAACTTATACAAGGAATGTTTTTTTATATAGTCACTGTGGCTTAGGCGCAACACCTCCAGTGGGCCCAATAAAAATGCTGTGCCTGAGCCACAGTGACCCTGCAAAGAAAAAAGGATCAGAATTCTTACAATACTGTTGCTGGCCACTATTGCCAGGTATGCTAAAAAAGGTATTCTTTGGAGTAGGATACACGTTGCATCATTACACTAGCTTGTTGTTGCATTCTCTTCAAATGTCCCTATGTGATAGCTTTTTCGTTCTTGATGCACCGCTTCCTCCTCATTCGTTTCTCCTCTTTCAAATTCAGAGTATTCATCTGCAGGATTGGGTTGTCCGAGTGGTTTCACCAGCTCATGATATGGCTTCACGTGTTTAGCTGGAATCCACTTGGTTCCTGTGGGAAGAAGAACACAAGCATACCCTCGCCCCCAAGCGATTAGTTCCACAGGTCCACTCCAGCCAGGTCCACTAAAAGGATCTTTATACAATACTTTAGGTCTTTGTGAAATAGAATCGGGAGTTTTAAAATGCCGCTCTATTGCCGTGCTGGCCATTAAGTCTGGTGAGCGATTTAAAAAATTCAAAGTATACATAGCATTATCTAGCTGTTTTTGTGGTGGCATATTCCCCCTTTTTTGTTTATGTAACATAGACTTTAAAGCATGATGCGCACGCTCAAGTATTTCTTGTCCAGTAGGTGAATGTGGAATCCCTGTCACATGGGATCCCTGCCACTGTTGCAAAAATAATTGGGTAGATTCAGCTACATACCCTGGACTGTTGTCAGTTTTAATGGTTTGAGGAACCCCCATAGTTGCAAAGCATCGTGACCAATGTTGTTGAACATCACGTGCCCTTTCTCCAGAATGAGCAGTAGCACAAATATAAGAGGAAAAGGTATCAATAGAAACATGCACAAATTTCAAGGAGCCAAAGGCAGATACATGTGTAACATCACTTTGCCAAATGGCATTAGAATGTAAACCGTGTGTGTGAACTCCAGTGCTCACTGCATCAGAAGTAACTCTTTGACAATCGGGACAAGAATGAATTTTATCTTTAGCCTGTGCCTTTGTCAAATTTTGAATTGTGTTGATTCGCCCATGATATCCTTTACTACAGTGAGGGCACAATTGATTTGGAGGTTTATCATGTTTGGATTTCTGTCGTTTAGGACATTGCTTAGCCATACGTCCCAATTTTCCACACTCAAAGCATGTCACAGTAACTTTGAGTTCAATTAACATTTAGTTGTCATGACAGTGCAGCAGCTAACATGTTAACTCTATGAGTGTCTGTCCCTATGTTTTGACGTATCTTAATATATTCCCCAACGTCAGTAGCTCTTCTTCTACCAGTTTTCAATACAGCCTGACAGTCTGTATTTGCATTCTCATAAGCCAATTGAAATAACACTTTTGTAGCTTCCGGATTTTCTACCTGCCGCACTATCGCGGCTTGAAGGCGATCAATAAAAGATGCGTACGGTTCTTGAGAGCCCTGTCATATAGAGGCAAATGAAGCGATACCTTGCCCAGTTTCAGGTACACGTCGTAAAGCCATAATTGCAATACGAGTAGCTTGATCGACAACTTGCTTTGGCAAAGCAGCTTGTGCCTGAGGTGTAATGTAAGGGCCTGTTCCTTGTAACATATTTTGATCTGTAAGTATCCCTGATGACAAGTTGTCCATAATTTGTTCCACTTACAAATCATTGTATTCTAATTGCCATACAGAATACTGAGCAGAAGTCAACACAGTTTTCATAAGCAATTTCCAGTCCCAAGGAGTCATAGTATAAATGCTTCCAATTGTTTCCACTAGTCCTATTGTAAATGAATTGTGTAACCCATTTTCGCAAATTGACTTCTGTAATTCTTTTATCATTTCATAAGGTAAACCCTCATGCTGTGGTGGATTATGGGGTCTGTATATAACAGGAAAAGTAAACATAGTATCTCCTTGCTGTAGAGCTTTTTCTCGACAGTGTCGCATCAAGCTATTTGTATTTTTTCCCAAATCATTAAGTGAATCAACACATTTAGCATCAAAGTCTGTTAAAGGCGGAGCTGAAGGCACTCTAGTTTTTTCTCCGCACCGCTGTAAAGCAGGAGCCACAGGATTAGACAGAGGCATAGAGCTAGAGGGATTAGTAGGAGAAGGAGCTACAGGTAGCGCAGCACAGCCGGGTTCTGTTTTTAAGTTCTGCAAACCCTGGAGAGGGAGTACCAGACGACTGGGGTGGGGGCGTGGGGGACGGCGCTGGCTGCGGCAGGCAGCGGCGGCGAAGCGGGTGCGAAAGGGGCGGCAGGCAGCGGCGGGGACCTGTATGCGGTGGTGAGGGTCGGCGAGCCCGCGCTGCCCACCCGCTGCCTGCCGGCGGGGTGAGTGCCGTAACGGTGTTAGTGCAGGCGGCGGTGGAGGTAACGAGGGATATAAATCCGGCTCTCTTTCAGAGTCCACCCTGCCTGATGCAAAAGAATTATTATCGGAATCAGAATCCTGCTCGTTAGCGGCCCGCTTACAAACTGTCTCCTCAAAAGCAGTATCAGGTTGTATTGATATGATTTTCTCTGCTGGCTGTAAATGCACCAGCGCAGTATAAATAAATTTCCATGTCACAATTAAATTTTCTGATACACCGAATGCCAAAGTTTTTTGCGTTTGTAAATGCTCCCCGACTCTTTCCCAAATCTTGCTATCAAAAGTTCCCTCTGTGGGAAACCAGTTACAATTATCCTTTACCCATATGAAAAGCGAAGCTATTTGTCCCTCTGTTGTTTTATACCCAGGGGCCCGTAAAATCTGCTGCAAAACGTTTAAGTAGAGCTTATGCTCCTGAGAAACCGATTGCCCCATGCTACCGCAATCTTGCAACTCACCCGTTCCGCAGGGGTTGCTGTTACCTATTTTCTCGAAGTCGTGGCCACTTCTTCAAAACTCTCCCCATTAGGTTGTGTGGTCTCCGCAGTGAAGGGGAATCACCTCTTCTCTTCTTCTCTTGATCATGTTGTTTTCTTCTCTTAATCGTGCCGGCTTCTTCTCTCGATCACGTCGCCTTCTTCTCTTGATCATGTCGGGCTCACCATCTGTGGCGACTGAATTAAGCACTCAAGCTATCTGTACAAGATTCCCTTTATTTCACAAAAGAATCCAACTTACATATGTTTCAACAAAGATCTAGAAAGAACTAACAGCATACAGCCAATACTACTAACACAGGAGCGCATATCTGGCTCAGCTGGGATGTTTGCCAGTCCTCAGAACAGTTAAAGATAAAAACATTCCATACCCATACTCGTGACTGTCTTCAGCCACATCTTCCCAGGCCTACACAAGGCCATCCTCCAGCCTGACTTTGTAAAACTAGTTCTTCAAAGCTTGGCAAATATACAGCCCAACAAATTCTAACGGTCACCCTTGAAAACAAATGCCAGGTGTTCTGAGCTGCTCCCACAGGTTGAGCATACAAAAAGCATATCTCAAGATAAATACGAGCTAGATGGTAAGAAACTAGTGCTATGAATATGGGGAACAACTAGGCTTATTTCTTGAGTACCTTTACTCCTCTGCAAAGATCAGGTCCTGGGATTATTAGCCAGAAGTTATCTTGAAAATCTATTGAAGTTACTCAATTCATATTAAAAAAAAAGGTATGTCTTTTTAAGTAACTTAAAGATGTTTCTGCCTGTCTTTGATTTTGCTTGTTAAAAAATTAATAGGTCACTTTCTGATATTTTACCATCTTACTAATGGAGATAAACTGATTGTTTTAACTGTGCAGTATTTTGGGGGCTAGACAGAAAACATACCTATAACGCCTGTCACAAACTAAGAGATTATATGTGAAGTGCATTTGAAGGTCAAATTGTTTATGTTAATTAAAAATTGAGGTTGTATTGAATAGAGAGGAAGATTCTTCGGTTGACAGAAATTCATCTTGCACTTTAGAGTCTGATATGATAGTTTTTGTTTTTGTTTTTTGTTTGGTTTTTTTTTTTTTCTCCTGTTAAGGAAGTAACTGAATTTTGAAATTTGAAGCTGATTAATAGATGCATCTTTCTGTGATAGATTTGGCTTTTATGCCTTAAATATTAGAGGAGATCTTCTGGCAAAATTGTCAGCTAGTAGTAGTTGCTGTTTGTGACTTTAAAAAAAATGGAAGCACAAGTGTTCTTTGCCAAAATTGCTGCTTTTCTTACAATTGAATATTATTTGTAATTCAGTTGTATTAGATGCTTTAGTTTTGTTGGCTGCCTAAAAGATTGTATCATTTGGTGACACTGCAGGTTTTTCATGCAGGATGGTCTGTATAGTCACAGAATATATACATATATAATCAAAAAAGTGTCTGCATACAGTCAGAGGAGTGCTGGCTAGAAGCCTTCTGCACATGGTGTTGCAGCTTCACTGAAGGTTGTGGGGGTAAAATAGAAAGAAAAAATAATTTAAAAAAAGAGGTAAAAAAAAGCACAAGTTACTTTTTGGAGACTTGTGCCAATGACGTCAGTCCAGTTGGAATTATTGTATGTTTCTTATTCTTGCATGCTGTTTTAGCAGAATGCAAATAAAACAGTAGACTATGAATTAATGTTTCTCAATCTAAATAGATTTGGTGAAGCTTCTGCTGGCTTTGTCTATAGGCAAGTTTTAGAGCCAAGATAAAAGTTTGGATCTATTGCTTAACGCTTGAAGGTCACCAAAGACTAAATATGTCAGGTCTGTTAACAGTAGGTCACTAAAAACCACTAGGTAATTAAAAAATTGAAACACTGTAAACACTATCTAATATCCTGTCTATCAGACTAAAACTCTGAAGTAATAATACTATGAGTTTAATACCATTAAGATACCTAGATAGGTCTTTTTATCTCCTGCATCTAGCAAGGACTTGGTTGAATTCCTCTTTTCTGCGAGTTTTGAGCATCTAGGTTTTTGAGAACTACCATTTGTTGATCTTCACAGAGGCCAAATGTTTCTGAGTTTGGAATTAATGATCTGTTTGTTCTGAATGTTGAACAGGTGATGCATTGCAAGTCGATAAATTGTGAGTAGTCTAGAATAGCTAAAAAGGTCTCCCTTGGAATTTTTTTTTTGTAACCCATGACTCTCATATTCTCTTCTATTTTTACAGACCCTTAGGTTAACCACCCGACTTAAATAAAAGCTAGATGTAGTTGATACTTTAGAGAAATTATGCTGGTTTATAGTTAAATAAATAGTGTAAAGAAACTGAAATCTCATTAAAGATAACGTGTGTCTGCTGCTTAGCTGGATATTGGCCAAGATTGAAGGGAAAAAAAAAAAAAAGGCGTGATACATAGTAGCCATTACTATTTATTTTTTTTCTAATGAATTCAGTATCAAATATACAAAATATATTGGAGAACACATCAGAAAAAAAAGAGTGTCTTAAATAGTCCTTTTGACATTTGGGGGCAGGGCTAAATTGTTTGTTTTCATTCTCTCTGCTAGCTGGAACTAAATCTCACATTTTTATTTTTTAAGGTATGGTACAAATCCCACTTCTCTGAGCTCTATGTCAGAGAAGTTTAAACTACTGCATCGGAAGGACCAAAATCCCAAATATCAGATAGTTTTAAGAATGTTTCTCCAACACTGCCACAAAGTTCACGTGCCAGTCCTATGAAACAGCTTTTTGTTTATTTGGGATTCTTTTTGGTTTGTTTTTTTTTTTTAATCTGACAATTTAGCATTTGAGCTTATGGATTTATAAAATACTTCCAAATCATTCATATTATGACTGTTCTACCATACTGTATACTGCAGGTATAATTCTAAGATATTGTAACTGAAAATTAGGAGGCGCACATTTAAATATTTACTGAAAAAAAGAATCTTTTGTGAATGCTATTCTAAACTTCATGGTGAAAATCTGATTGAGAAAACATACAGTAGAGATGTTTATAGATCAAGAAGGTGGTGTTTTCTGTGCTCAGTCTGTCTGTAGTCTGCATAGACACTGAAGGAGAACTTCAGCTGTAAAGATGAGTGTCCTAGAAAATTGGAACATATCTGTGTGTACATGTAAACCAGAGGTAGGCTAAATCTTTTGTTGTCATAGCTGATCGTAAGAACTCTTAAATTTACATTATCCTTCCTTTTTTAAAAAAGTCTCTTGTGGCTGGAGCTCATGTTCTGGGATTTGGGCAATTAATCTAGCAAAGAAACAATTTTGAGAAGGCTTCTTCCTTTACCTTGTGCTGACCTGGCAATCCAGACCCTGAGGGTAATCATGTAATTCTATTAGTTCATTTAAATATACTACTGGATGGAAAAATCTCATACTGCAACATCCAGTATACTTCATCCTGAAGTGGTGTTCATACTTTTGAAATGTTTGATACAGCTAACAAATTAAAATTCATCTTAATCCTCTATTAGTAGTGGCAGAACTTTTTTTAAATTAAAAGTTAACTAATGAACAGCTTTGGCATACATGAATCAGGCCTAAGTACTTACTTAACGCTGTATCTTTTGCATGTATATGGAATATCTTTTTAATATTGGGAGGGACGTCCAATTCAGTGTTGAGGGATATGTATTGAGAATACCTTCTGAAATACTTTCAAGTATGGATGAAAGACTGTCATAATGTGAACTGAGGTTGGAAGCAGAAATGAATGTTACAATTATTCAAATGTGTTGTATTCTGAAGTTAATTCTGCTGATGCAATTTACGTAACACAAAAAGGACAGGTAATTATTACTACCTATGTTAGTTACCTCATCTCATATTACTTACATATATATGCATCTTATATACCTGTATTGCCTAATACAAAATGGGCTAATAATTTTGTTAAGTTCTTTTGTGCATTGTGGATAGCTTACTTTTTCTTTACTGATAGGTTCTTCTCTTACAAAAGAAAAAAGGCGACATCGATCTCACAAGTTTCTGTGTCTCAGGGTTGGAAAACCCATGAGGAAAACATTTGTTTCGCAAGCAAGTGCATCAATGCAACAGTATGCACAGAGGGATAAAAAGCATGAGTACTGGTTTGCTGTTCCACAAGAAAGGTAAGGAGGAGGTAGACTGTAAAAATGAACGCTTTCCAATAGGTCTTTGAGCTTTTTTTTTTCCTGCACCATGTGAAATTTTTCAGTGACTGTGTCTGTAAAGCAACACAAAAAAACGGTCAACAACTAAGGATATTGATGATTGGCTTGTACTTAACACTGGAATACCTCATTATAATACTGAAGTTTTACTGATTTACTTGAGTTACTTGCATGTTCAGCCAATAGTTTATCATGTTATTATTTAGGCTTGTGTTTGTAGCTAAGTGAATAATGAAAGAAAGATTCAGGTAAGTAGTGTCTGGTGAAGGAAGTGAGTTCTGCAACAAAGTTTTTATTGTCATTATCTGTGCTTCCCATTATTTGGAAACTTTCTAAAAATTCTCTCCTTCTTAAAGCTCTGAGTTCAGAAGACCTAGCTGGGGTTCTTTTGTCCTATCTTTATATATGGAACATAAAACTTCTCCAGGAAGCAACTTAAACATATCTACTGGAAAAACATCTAAATTTGTTGCAGTGATTCAAAGACATGAGATGTCCATGCTCACTCACTGGTAAAGGCTTGAATTCTTAAATGATCTGTACTGCTAGGAAACTGACTTATTTCCAAGTTGAATGTGATTTTTTGAGGTATTGGAGATTATTATATCCTTGTCAGAAGAGCGGGGGGGTAAAGAGAAAGAAACAACAACAAAAAACTGTGAGCTGTCATCTTGTATAAATACCTGCACACAATGATCAAGTCACTTTTCCATCTTTTCTTTTGAGCTGAATGGCATAGAATGTCCAGTTGGGGCACTGCAGTTGAGGACAGATATGGATCAATTGGAGAGAGTCCAGAGGAAAGCAGCAAGACAAATTAATGCCTAGAAAGTGTAACATATAAAGAAAATTAGAAGTAAGTGGGGTTCTTTAATCTAAAGGAGAAAAGGTGGATTACAAACATAAAATCATTTCATACTTAAAAGTTGGCTGCAACAAGAAAGGCAGTACTCTTTTTTTTGTGTCCACTGTGAATGGAGGTGTGTAATGGACTGAAATGACATCAAAAATTCCAATATTCCAACAGGGATAATTGAGTCTATGCTAGCACATCACTAACCTGCTTTTAAACATCACCCCTGCAACCCCTAAGTGGTGGAGATCATGCAATTTCTTGAGACGAATGTCTGTCACGCTGATTCCGCTATAGCTAATCCTGTCTGGGCCAGGTGACCTCTTGTGGTTACATTCAACTCAAATTTTGTTGTTCTAGTCATATCATATTTCATTTGAAAAGAGTTAAATGTTTCACGTATGGCAACAATGTCTAGGTCAGATGATTAAAATTATTATTGTCTCTCCTTGGTTCATTTTCTAATGTAGCAGAGCAAGTACTTATCTTCAGCATAAAGCAGAATTTATCACCTATTTCAGAAGAAATAGTTCTTAGCTTACAGTCTGTATGTGATCTCCTTGGAAATTACTCCGCCTATGAAGGGTTTCTTTTTCTAACTGCATGGGGAATTAGTAATCTGTTCTTTAGCCATCTAATGTGTGTCCTGTGTTTTAGTACACAAAAAGTCAGATGTGGTGGTAGTGGGGTGTTTGTTTCGCTTAATTCAGTGTTAACCTTGCTGAGTGCTACTCTGCATAGGTCAAAATACTTAGTATCAACCCAGTTGTCTTTGTCACCTACTTCTTTCTCTTTCTTACCACTAGGTATTTGACAAACCTGCATTATTTCAGTGTTCTTAATCTCAAATGAGCCAGTCTGGGAAGGAATGTCTTTCAGTTCTTTAAACATCAAGTTTTCTTTACTTTTTAAACTGCTATAATTACACACAATTTCAAGTTCTTAAAAAGTTAACATCAGGATTTTTTTTTTATTTATTTTCCTACTTGTAAGACTTGATACTTCATTCAGTGCATGAGGAGTCTGCAGCTTCTTGTTCCAACTTTGTCATAGACCTTATCTACTCTTATGCATCTGAAATGTTTAATTCTCTCTTACTGTCAGAGAAAGATTTTTTCTTTTTTTTTTTGCTTTCATCAGTGTTATCCAGGAACCTTAATTTTAATAAGGGTGACTTTGAATAACTGACCCTGTTCAGAGGCTGTTATTACATACCTGTGTGCTGCATCCTTTTAGATACAGAGGCACATGAAGATTGAGCTGCAGTTTTGAGAGGCTTTGCTGCTCTGTATCTCTTGCTGTTCTTCCAGTATTCAGTTTTGCAGGGATTTAGTAAGGAGGGGAGGGGGAGGGGAATCCAAATGTTGTTCTTCATGCTAATCCAGTATGCAGAGTCACTGTAGCAAATATCTCTGAAGAGGGACACAAGCAATATTCAAACTCTTGGTAACCAGAGCCATAAAGCTTTAGCTCTGAAGCTGTCTTTTCCATGATGAAGAGATACTAGTGGATTCATTGCATGTCCTTTTTCTAAATGCTCCATCTGTGCACCTACAGGAAATGCTTAAACAGTACAGACTGACATCTATTAGGGTTGTAAATAACTTTCTTTTGGGAATTTGGGCATTTTGTTCTTTCAGACTGGAGAAACGTGCCATTTGTTTTAACTTAAAAGGAGGTAACTTTGAATCTTGGTACTTACTGCAGTACTGAAGTTAGAGTAGTCTGTAGTTTATGATATAGCCATATACATGCACACTTTCAGCCTTATTTCCTCATATCTGTAGTAATTCTCACAGTCTGTATAATTTTGGTTACATGTCTTGGGAGTGTTCAGCTGTTCTTCAGGGGTGAGGAAAACAGATACGGAGACATTTTTAAATTCCAATTTTGTTTATGTTTTTATGTAACTCTTTTTAAATAAAATTAAAAAATGTCAGTGTTTTATTTTGGAAGTTATTTCAGTTGTAAACAGAGGTTTCCAATGGGACAGAAAAGTTTGACAATGGTTGAAGGATTGTACTTGTATATGAAAACACAGCTAGTCAATTGCCAACTTGTTTCATGGTTTTTCTCCAGTGTCAGCTTCATATAATTAAAAAGAAAAAAAAATTAACTAGTTTTTTTCAAATGTGTCTGTAATATCTAGTAAAACATGAAATAGTAAGTATTTTCATTTTAATCTTAAATACTTCATAATTATTAGACATGACCCCAAAGATCACAAACTTACCTTATTTTTCTTTTCTGTATCGTTACTTGACTTCTCTAGGACAGATCACTTGTATGTCTTCTTTATCCAGTGGAGTCCAGAGATATATGCAGAAGATACTGGGGAATCTCTTCGGGAACCTGGATTTATAGTGGTAAAAAAGAAGGAAGAACCTGAAACTAGTGAAGAATCTACTACTGAAGATGCTGCTAAAGAGTGGGAGGTAAGCAAAAACAGTGTCAAAAATATTTTTTTTTAATACTTTCATAAGAATATAGTTAAAATAGTGTTAAATTCTTTCCAATAAGAAAAACAAACCAATGTGCTTTATTAGTCTGCTTACTGTGATCATGACTGTTTAGTTTATGCCATCCTAATGCTTTGCTCTAACATCAGTTCAGGGCAACATTTCACTATTACAACTTGTTTTCGTATAGAGCAAATTGTAACTTAAAACTTAGGAGTTGAAAGGAACGTGAGTACAGCAAAGAAGTTGCAACTTTGATGAAGCAGACATAGTTTTCAGTCAGGTAAACTGACAGTTTTCTGATATTTATTATTCCTGTATCTAGAATGTTGAATACTTCCTGGTAAGTCTCCAAACATGGATGAGACAACAAAAAAGGAAAATTAATCTATTAATTACATGTTTTTCCAATAATCCAGTAATTAACTTCTCAGTTATAACTTCTTCATACATTAAGATGCTGTTGCATGGGTTTTAGTAATATACTGTAACTGGAACTCTATTTTTTGTAACAAACACATTTCTCCCATGTGAATCTGTGTCCACTGTGTTTATATGGACACATCTTTACATGTCTACATGGTTTTGTTTTGTAGTATACATACAGTTAAAGCCCTTGTAGTCTTGTGCATTCAAGTGTCAGTCAAAAGTTTGATGATTCTTGTCATATATATTGTAGAAGTATCCCATCAGCACTGTTTAACTTGAGCATCAGGACAGCAATTGCAATGTCTGACTGTAAGACTGATTCTTCCTTCTTCACTCTTGCCCTGCCCCACGAAGCAATGAGGCATGTTGAAATTGAGGAGTTTTATGTAGAGTGTAAAAGAAATTTTAAAAAACTGCAATAGTCTAGCTATCGGTAATGGTTTTCTTGTTAGCTCCAAAACTTAGAATCACAGTAGAACTCTGACTTCAGACTTCTCACTTAGCTCGAGTATTAGGTTGTGGTTACAAAACGCTGTCTCTGCAGTTCAGTGATTTTGCATGGAGCAGTTTTGCTTTGAGATATTGAAATTGGTGTATCATAAAAGCATGTCTTTTGAATCTTCATATTTTCAGCATATATATTGCTTGAGTATTTTTTACCAGCAATGTATTTTGGTGTTGATTCTTGCTCAAAGCCTTTCTAAGTATTTGATGTTTTAAAACGTGGCCCTTTGGAACATGGGGATCAGTGGCAAGTGATCAATATTATGGTTTAAGGCACAGTATGTGTCTCTTTTAATGAGCTCTTCAGTAACTTTGCACCTTAATATAATTACAGAATAATTTCAACAGAAAATAGTGCGAATTTTTCTTCAGGATTAAATGTTGTAACTTTTATTTCTGAAGACAGTCGAGGCAGTCCTTTTCCTACATGTATTAAAATCTGTAAGTTATTTGCTACAGAATGAGGTCATGTCTTAAGCCTTTATTTAGGTCTCCTCTGGAAACAATTGTTGAAGACATATTTCAAAAATAGTGTTATTTCTATATGTGTTATGTGAAAACTATGTCAAGTTTGGTTCTCTTAAGATTATCAAATAATAATTATCTGGATTTAGAAGTTAGTGTGATTAGTGAGATGGATAACTTTTTAAAAAAAATGTTACGCAAGTATAAGAAATATGCTAATGTGGTCTTCTGTGCATTTTAACTTGAGTAATGTGACGTCTTATGATTGACTTCTAGCACAAACCTGAAAGCTATTAAAAACTAACTTTTTAATCAGGAATGTTTGACAGTACTAGATGGTTCAACCTGTCATTACATCCAGCTGCATTTTAGTGGCTTTAAACGTACGTGCTAGAAAGTATCAGTACATACAGGGAATTGTAGCTGCTGTTGTCATACCCATTACTCCCATTGAGTTTCAGTCATTATTTTCAATCAACACACTTCCTTCCTTTAACCCAACAAGCTTTTTCTCTGTCAGCTCTTGATCCAGGTGTAATTTACAATAGCAGGTGAACAGTATCATTGAAACATTTTTGTGGGTATTGGGATGAAAAATAGGCTGCCTTCTTCAGAACACAGTGATGGGAAAACTCAGGGTGGAAGAGAGATGGAAAGCAAAATCTTGATGTACAAATGCATCACAAAGTACTGTTGATCTACCAAAATAGGAAGATAGTGGAGTAGCTTTCTTTTCCAAAAACTGTTCTCTGTGATCTTTGTACAGTATCTTAAAACTGGAGAAGCAGGGAAGAGGATTAATGGGTAACCCAGGTGTGGTGCTCTGAGATAGCTTTTGCTTCTTTCATAGTCAGATGTTAACACATTTGGCTGCAGCTTTTTATCAAGAGACTTTAAGGAAGTAGTGTGCTTTTTTTTTTTTTTTAGTGGAAAAGGAATTATGGGAAGAAGGAGCAAGCAAAAGCAAAGATCAATAAGATATGAAACAAGTAGTAGGGATTTGTTTATAAGTTTATTAAATGGATCAATGAATGGGACTGAACTCTTACCTGAACTTACTCCAATTTTTCATCTACTTATGCTTTCTTCTTACTGTATACAGAGTAGTCTATTTCCTTTCAGCCTTTTCCCTGAAGTAATCCAGTAGATGTAACCTCAGCTGATCTAGTGGCAAAGAGGTCAAGACTCCTGCTGTCATATTAAACACTAGTTTGATCAAATACTGCACTGTATGAAGTGTCAAAAAAAAAAATAATCCAGGGAATCCCTTAGCTGACTCTTTTTGTATTTATGCTACACACTTAATAGATAACTGACTTCTTAGAAATAACCATGAACCTACTACTATCTACCATTGCCATCAGTAAAGGTGACTAATTAATAGTTGTCAGTTACTTAGAGTTTAAAACAAATTCTGGGTGGGGTACCTCGGAGCTCCCGTTGCTGATGATGTTCCTCAGTATCTGCCTTCCTGAGAGGCCTCTGCCTGTCCCATAGGCAAAGCCCTCTGAAAAGGATACTTTTTCACTTACGATCAGTCCATGCTAAAGACTTGTCTCTGGTGTCCACTAGAAATGAATAGACAGGAATTTTATTTTATATATCATGTAAGAAATGAAACTGTGCTGCTAGTTTCTTGGTGGTGTTATCCCCATCCGTTTTCCTCAAATGTCTCTTTTACCTTCTTGTACTTAGGTGAATGGGCATACACCAAAGAAGAGGCTGTTTTGGGTTTTGTGGGGGGCTTTTTTGTTTGTTTTTGGTTTTTTACGATCTGTACTGAGCCTTGAGGATATAGAGGTATATTTATCATGGTATTCTTTTTTTAGTTTGTATTAGTTCAAGCGCTAATGGCTTTCTTTATCTGTTAGCACAAATAATTAATACTGTTCAAAAACCTGTGTGTTAATAAACAGATGCCTTCTCCAAAGCATATTCTGTACTTGCATCTAAATGTGGCAAGATTTGACAGCAAGCTGACCGTTTCTGTTGTGCAGTGCCTCAGAAGCAACTTCCATGGGTACTTTATGGTCTAATTTTGTTTCCTTTTTAAGTTCAAGTTGTGTATATAGTAATGTGTGTAGAAATTAATGACTTAGTGTTAAGGTGCTTGCTGTTAGATAGCTGCTGAATGCACTAACATCATTTTGGTGCCAATTAGTACCACAGATTGAAAGCATTAAGGAGTTGTCACCTTGTGCTGATAAAGGCATGGTATCACAGTATTTGAAAGTAGGGATAGGTCCTCAAGCAGTGCTAATAGGATTGGTCTTATGCTTAAAGAAGTTGAAGATGAGTGAAAAGGAAAAACTGCTTGAATTCTACAGTATCCAAATCCTGGTTGAGAAATGAGTTTTCAAGTAACACAGCTATTTCTTGTTTCTATAAAATAACGCCTAATAGTTTCTTATGGCTGCATAAAAGATTGCTTTTCTAAAAGAAGTGTTGTTGACATTCCCTGTAAAGCATAAATATTATTCCATTGTGTATATTGTATATTCCATTGTGTATATTGTATACATTGTATATTCCATTGTGTATATTGTATACATTGTATATTTTAAAAGAAACAAAAAAAACCCCGACAGATCAGAGCACAGATTATGAACCACAGTTGATCATAGAACAACTTGAAGAAAGGTTCTAAGTGCTGCCTAGTATGCATTATTTTCTATAACCTTTCTTGCAGACTCTTCAGCTTTTTTAATTCAGGAAAAAAAATCTGCACTCTCAAAAAAAAAAAAAGAAGGTGGTGGTGGTAAGTGATATCTCTGTGATTCATGAATCCCAGAAATTCCAGTTATCCAGTTATTCTAATATAATTTTCCTAAAACGGATTGTAAAACCTTGACGGGCTTGTTTCCACTGCTGTTGCTGTATGATGTGACAGGTGGCATTTTGAAATTGACCACTGGAGGAAAAAGACGTGGAAAACAGTACTCATGTAAAAGTCATTAACCATATCAGGGATCTAGTATAGAGTTAAATGACATAAATCAGCTTTCCACTGAATTTGTGTGCACATAAAGTGTGCTGATAAGCTCAAATATTTTTCTACAGAAGTTGGCATGCACATGTAAATAATCATGGAATCATAGAATGGTTTGGGTTGGAAGGGACTTTAAAGATCGCCTAGTTCCAATGCCCCTGCCATGGGCAGGGACACCTTCCACTAGACCAGGTTGCTCAGAGCCCCATACAGCCTGGTCTTGGACTCTTCCAGGGAGCAGGCATGGGGCATCCACAACTTCTCTGGGCAACCTGTTCCAGTGCCTCAGTTAAAATCTTTAGAGAATCAGTTTATCGTATCTGGGGAGTAAGGACAACTGAAACTAATTTTCCAAGCAAGGTTTTTACAGTTTTAATAATGCTAGATACAAAGGAAACTGCTGTGCTCTAACAAGGGAGGAGGGCATTAGAGGGGAAACAATGGAAGTGACGACTTGGATAAGAAACATTAGTGCATAAAGGAGAAATGACACAATTTGGCCTTTCCCATGTGAGTTTTATCATAAAATTTTTGCACCTTCTATTTGTATCTAACTAAAAGACTAGTTGGTCTCTTGGCGGGGAGGGGG